GAAGAAGAAGAAGAGGAAGAGGAAGAGGAAGAGGAAGAGGAAGAGGAAGAGGAAGAAGAAGAAGAAGAAAAAGAAGAAGAAGAAGAATTTCAAATAAAGAACCCTCACAATCTGGGCTGGGGAGATATTGGAGATTATGATGCTGGCTTTTATAAACTGTTCCGTAACATGTTTTCACAACTCTCATTTGTCTGCTTTAACAATAATAAATAGCATTTGTATAGCGCATATCCCCGCTCTTCAACAAGCTCTATGCAGGTCACACATTATAATCCCAGAAGACCATGCCATAGAACACTCACAAACATTCTTAGCTCTCATGTGGCTGTGGTTGTTGTTGGGGTTTTTGTTTTCGACAACTACGTTTTGTTTGGTACCGCAGGTGATTGCGGTACGTACTGTCATTATATTCTGGCGTGACTGTGGGCGGTTGGTGGGTAACTCTGGTGTGGTTTGCTCCTTCTCCCTACCAAATATCTTTTGTCCTTGTATCTCACCCTTCTTTTTTGGGGGGGCGGGGGATTTGTTTGTTTTGTGTATGTTACTATCTAGTAACACCTCAAATCTTCGGCGTTCATGATATGACCTAATGGTGTTGTAAGTTTCGTAAAACTTCTACTAAAACTAAAAATACTTACAGGCAGAAACCACATAGATCTCCCTGCCAAGAAGTAGCCACTGACCGTGCTTCTGTTGGCGCGCCACATGGCCTGGGGACAAAAGTAGGTCAAACAGAATATTGTTATACTAGTACATTACTATCTAGTGTACCAATCCATTTTTTTCATGCATTTAAGGGTATCAAATGTCTATCATTTCAGATTAGTCAAAATAGATCATCCATTGCATAAACTTGACCCATCTTTAGACACAGTTCAAGGGTATAAACTGACCTTCAGTTTAGAGTAGATAAAAACAAGTTTATCGCTGCATTGTTTGAAACTATAAACGGTCTATCATTTGAGATCGATTTCCTTGAGGAGAGTTTCTTGTTTTGTTTTGTTTTTATCGAGCTGCTCCGTCTGTCTGCTGGGACGTTGTATCCCTGTCATCCTGGGTTCTCCCTGATAGGCAGGATCGGAGCAGTCTGCACCTCAAATGATTGAAATTGCATCGATGGGGGTGCAAAATATTTTTAAAGATTAGAAGATTTCCAACTCTTTAGTACACCTATCTTCTTCAGATGTCAGTTCTGGAGTAGACACTGGCGATCATAGTACCCAATCCCTTCCTGTTGTCTTCTTGATCAGTTTGGTTTTTCTCTTTGTGTCTTTCGTTGCAAAGTTTGTGTATGTTATTCTTTGTCTTCCTCTGCTCTTCTTTACCTCTATCATTCCACTTAGCAAGTGTTTTTCTAGTCCGTCTGATCTATTTATATGGCCAAAGAATCTCAGTTGTTCACCTTTGCTATGCAGAATTGCTCCGAATTACAGTTGACGGGTGTCTGAGTGGTATTGGTAGGGAGCTTCGCCTTCCCACATACAAGGCGTAAGTTCGATTCCCGTGTGATGAGGTTGTTTATCGGGTATCTCCGCCTGTCTTTCTGCTGCGGTCTTGTATCCCTCTCAGCCAAGATAGCTCTGACATTCAAGGTCCAAGAAGCCCGACTTCTAAAGGATCAAGACTATGTCCATGGGCGTAAACATCCACGAGGTTGGTTTGTGTAAGCTCTTGTGTGGTTTTCTCTTTCTTTCCTATCAAACATTGTCCTTATCTATCCTCCTTTTGGTATTTGTTACTCTCTTGTAACACCCCAAACGTCGGCACTTATAATATATCCTGACTGTGTTGCAAGTGCCGTAACACTTTTACTAAAACTAAAACATTTACAAAGACAGTTCTTGAGAGATTATTATTTACTGCCTAGAACTTTGTGCATGAGTTTTTCTGAGCAAAGAAGCTCCCTGTTTCACCCATGTTAAACAAACCCGCTCTGAACTCTAAACTTTGAACTTTGAACTAGAATAAAACATCATCATAACTTACTGTCATGTAATAATGTAATTATTGAATAAGAAATACGCGAATGCACACCACTACTGATTGCTGGAGCTGACCCGGAAGCTGTACCTAACTTAGGAGGGAAACTTCACTTCCCCCTGAGCTGCCACGCCGTGAACAACACATTCTGAGTACACCTCATCAAGAGACTTAACAGGTTAGTGCCTACAGATTATCTAGATTTAGATTTGTTACACTTACAAAGATGCCGACGAGGATGACCAAGACAAAGTAGCCGATGACCACTCCAATGTCAGCCGTGCTCAGGCCATGGTCGCTCTCCATGATGACGTCACAGTGTCCACGGGTGTATCTGACCCGTTTTGAAGTAGGGGAGGATGCTGGTCACAGGGATGCGGGTGTTTATGGAGGTCCAAGAGCTCACCTCACCTGAGGAAATGAAAATGCGCATGTATAAAGTAAAGTAAATGAATTATTTTTGTTTTTGAGTGTTTTCCCATCTCTCAGGCGCGTTGCCTTCTATGTAAAGAGTGAGTGCATGTGTTTTATACCCTTATCAACACTATTGGGTTGTTTAAGAGGCCCGAACCCCAATTTTTTTTGTGTCTGTCTCCGATACAGCCAAGCAAAATGGGTTGAGGGCTTTAAAGACTCAACAAAACGACCACCCGAGGTCAAGAACGCCCAGTCTGGATTTGAACCAGGGTCATCCGCTTCATAGTCAGGCATGATACCACATGGGCTAACGTAGTGTTCGTTGTATCCGTAAATGGCGAGTAGTTAGGCTAATTACGGCCAAACCTGTACATAACTGCCGCTCAAGGGCACATAAAAAATTGATCGTTATAGACAGATGAACGCTATTGACAGAGTGTGCGTTATTGTCATTCTCAGAAGTTGACTGGAGGGTGCCATTGGTGGGTCCTACTTCTTTACTTTCCCTCTGTTGTTTCTGTCTGTTTATCTTAGTTTTTTCCAGCACTTAATGGCCATTATGAGTTGATTTGTTTATGTTTACTCAAACTAACGAAAGAAAACAAAACTTGACCAAGTCAACAGATGGTATAAAAATCTGACATTTCATTTCCTTTAAAATTGTTATCGATCATACGAGCTTGTAGCAATGTTCTGTCGTCTGCTTTCGTCTCCTCTTTCTTCCCCCACCCCTTCACCTCTTTTGCCCCCTTCTCTGGGCTCCTGATTCTTTCTGCAGCCTTTCTACTGCCACTCCATGGCGTCTTTTTACTGCTGTCTTTCAGCCACACCCCTGATCTTCGGGAAGGAAAGATCTACATCTAGCCTTCTCGGACAACGGTGAAAAATATCGGAGGGCCCGTGTGTAAGTTGCGCAAGTGAAAGATCCCCTAGTGGTCTAAAATCGATCTGAGTAGGATTCGGCCGCCACCGGTGCAAAATTTAAAATTTCGTACCAACTTAAAAAGTTTAATGTGTCCCGCGTGCTCATATAACCTTATGCAGTTGCTATAAACATTCATACGCACTATGCACACATCCATACACCTATCCATACACACATAATATATAAACACGCATCAATATAAAAATACTTACATAAATAGATATACACATACATGCGTTGGATGAGTGTCGATGTTAAATATAAAGAATAAAGTAAAATCCTTGAACACAAAGTTTGATTTGTTTTGACCTTATGAACGAACTCACCTCACACAAGGACCCCACAAAATCGGCAACTAAGGTAAGATATTGGTCTCAGGTTCGAATATTAGATCTTAAAATTCCAATAGATTCTAGATATGTCTAGAATATTCTTTAATATTTGAACACTTCGTAGAAATAAACGTTGAAAATTTAGGCTATTTACAGTACACCAATCCCGACATTAAAAGACTCTTCACAAAAGTCGTAAATACCGTGAACAAGCTCTTTCGTCCGATGAAATGCAGCTTTCGATATTTTAATCTACTCATGCTGCGCAGTCCTTAAATCTGAGCAGTCTGCCGACCGGACGTCACAGCACGTGGGCACGTGGAGCAGAGGGAAAACTCACCATTAACCTTGGCTGCTCACTGCTCAAATCGCTGGATTATTTGCTCAACTTCATCAGCGAACGAGGAGCAAAACTCTAAATTAATATAATAAGGCTTTTTTTTATTACGTCCTTTCTTTCACCAAAGAAATTTTAAGAAGTCAGAGGCGTAGTCTGGCTTTGGAAATTTGAATCATTTCCCAAAATAGCTTTAATAACTGGATGTTCCCACGTAAGTTTTGTGCTTGAATTCGCTTTGTGTCAACGATATGTTTGCACTATGAGGGACAAGAAGTCACCCAAACACACTTTCACCACTTTTCAAAAGGTTACGCTTCAGCTCTACTCCCATTTTAATAGAGAAGCAAAGATAGGAGCTTTTGTGCCATGATATAGGGACCAAAAAGAAAGAACCTGGCAAGCCTCAGGTTTTTAACAGAAGCACATTGTCAAGATGGATAAAGCAGCACGAAATGGGGCAAGAGACTTTCTTAGCTAAAAGAGGGCGGCCTTTGAAGACTGATAGTTTCTATAGGGAGGTCGTCCGACGAGCAATTGTCCAGATGTTTGAAAGAAATGAATTTGTTACTCTCAGAAAGTTGAAAAGATGGTTGTCCGATAATCCTGAAGTCAACATATCGAAGACAAGCCTTTGGAAAACAGTGAGACGTTTTGGATTTGCGTTCAGGAAATTAAATGGTGGGGACAATTTACTGCGCGAAAGAAATCATATTGTTATTTTAAGATTAAGAAGTAAGTAAATGAGATATTGAAAGACGCGCGGGAGAAAGGAAATGAGGTTTTCTTCTTAGATGAAACTTTTATAAACATTCACCATGTGTTCCAAAAACAGTGGCAGTCAAAGGATGGACATATTAAAAGACAAGTTCCAGCTGGAAAAAGAGAGAGACTGATAATTGCACAATGTGGAAGTAGTGAAAAGTGATTACTTGAAAATGCAGAACTAATTTTCTGTCTGTCTGTCTGTCTGTCAACATATTTCGAAATTGGATTATTAAAAAAATATTACATGCACTGGACAAGCCATTATACTGATGGATTATGCGACATATCACAACGTAGTGGAAGAAGAGGACAAAATTTCTACAACTACAAGTGCAAGCAGAACAGAGGAAACAAAATATTGACTCAACAAAGAGAGCAGGCCATTTTCACCGTCTCAGCTTAAACCCGAGCTCCTTTTGCTCGTTAAAGAAAGCAAAACAGCCAAAAGATTACAAGTTGATACAATAAATTGTGGAAAAGCACAGACACATTTGCTTACGGTTGCCAACCTACCTCTCCAATTTAAATCCAACTGACCTCGTCGGGGCGAAGGTCAAAGACACGGTTGCATCTCAAAATACAACCTTTAAATTGAAAGATGTCAAACATTTAAGAGAAAATGCGATATCTCGAGTGGACAAAGTTTATTGGCGGCAGTGTGAAACGCATGAAAATCGTATGGAGGACGAGTATTGGGAGAGGGAAGGACTTCAGTTCATCCAACCAAGAGTAGTCATCAACCCTGGTGAAGACTCCTCTGACTCGCTGACAGAATTAAGGTAGGCCAATGCTGAGACTATTAATTTTTTGCCACGTTTTCTTCTATTTTTGTACGTCCCTGAATCTTTTCGTGTTTGGATGACAGATACTGTCAGCACTAAATGTGAGGTGCTAATGATAAAGAGTAGTTAATTAACCAGTCACTAATTAGCTACCTAATTTGAATTTTCCTTATGTCATAGGTGCACATAGCTATTACTAAAAACATAACTGTTGAAATCGAACAATTAGTTGCTGAGATATTTAGCTTCAAACGTGTTCACAAATTATGGGACGGACTATAACGAGGACATAATTTTTTTGTTAGAAACTTTGGTGTGTGAACAAGTATGGATGACAGACAAATTTAGTTGTCGAAGGAATTTCCTCCAGATGTATGTGAATCAGCTCTTGCTTTCAAACTTATAATAACAATTTTTGAGAATTATATATTCATGCGAGACTCCATGCGCCCAGACAGCCAAAAGAAGTCTGATGAGGTGGAAAACAAATTTCTTTTCACACATTTGGACCGTAGAATGGCCAGAATTAGCTGGAAAGCAGATACGAACAAATAATGAAGTGTGTGAGATTCTCCACACAAGACAAACCATGCTTAAGAAAATACAATGTAGAAAAATACAATACTTTGGTCACAGAAACCGACGCCAGACCATTGTGCAAGAGGTGCTTGAAGGAACGATGTGGGGCAGGAGAGCCAAGGGTAGGCAAAGAGTAACATGGTTGGACAACATTAAGACAATGATTGTCCTGGACATAACAGAATGTGCAACAGCAGCTCGCGACCGTGAAGGCTGGGGGGGGGGGGGGGGTCATTACACGTTAACCTTCGCGTCATGACGTCAGTGATGACACCTCCAGGTGTTCCGGGTATCATTCCAATCGACTGCCACGGGGAGCACGCAAAGTTCTCAAGACACCTACTTTTACAGCAGACGGAATGGTTGGAGGAATAAATATTTTCACCCTGTGGATCTCTCGATGAACTGGTCAATGGCCACGACTTTACATTTATGAGCAACAAAATCGCCGCCTCCTCCGTTTTCTTGTACAACGTACCTCACACTCGTACGTCCGTGTACAACCCACAGCAAAACGGATGCGTAGAGCGCGTCAACCGTTATCAAAAGAACTGCATCCCAGGCCTTCTTTCAAAACGGTGAGTCTTGTCAGCCAGGCACCAAAGCACTCTTACGTCATTTCCGCAGCCCACCGCCGACTGTAGACAGCAAGAGTAACTGTAGGTGTGTTCCTTTTGGAGCAGTTTGCGTAACACCATGTCCCTTTTAGACCAGTTTAACAGGTAACTTTTTTTCGCTAGGTAGTAATCAGATGAAAGAACGATAATAGTAATTAGCAGCATCGAATACAAGTTGATCAATGCGAGTGATAAAATTTCAGTTCTTCCGATTTTGAGAATGATTCGTTATGCTTGTTTTGTGTTCTAAGACATTGCTTGGGAACTGTCCTATCCAAAGAGGGGCATTTTTAATGGGGGGGGGGGGAGTATTTACGCACTATGTATACTCTCAGGGGTGTTTCAAACCGGTGCGTTTATAATACGGACAAACAAAAAAAGAAACAAAATTAATACACGCGAGTAGTCCTAAACATTGGTGTGTCTTATCCTCCACCTCCCCGTGGAGAGCAGGGGACAATAAATGCAAAGAAAGTCTCTAGAATCGGAAATTTTATCTATTTCAAAAGACTTCTATGCATTTGACGAACAGAAGAGGCAACGCCAAAAATTAAAGCAAGAAATCGGCGAATACAACTAGTCCAAAAGGAACCCCATCTTTTACTGGTCCAAAAGGAGTTCTCCCGTCCCCGTGACCTCATGTTCGACCGGACGGTGCGCCTGCCACTCGAAATTCCTCGCTTCATGAGACAACCTCTGTGTCAAACACTGTCTCAACTAGCAGCACCAGCGTTACGTCTATTGAGACCACACGAGCGTCTTCCGATCAGCGCTTCGTTTTCTTTGTTTGACCAAAGAGAAGCAAATCGACACAACAATTGTCATTTAGTGCTGGGAAAAAGTAAGACAGACAGGGAGAAACAACCGAGGGAAAGTCAAGGAGCAGGACTTACCAGTGGTGCCCTCCACTCCGGCGCCGACCAGCACTGTCGAGGCCCGTATCGTGTTGGCAGCAAAGTCCTTGATCGCCACCGTTAAGTGCTTAAGAGTCAAGGCCTTTGAAATTTAAAGCCTTTAACGGTTGTACAAATATTTGGACATAGGAGCTTCCGTTTGTCTGATGGAAAAAGGGGAACGCCAGAAAGTTACGACGAT